GAATTTATGCTAACTCAAGTCTGGAATGTCTTTTAAGGTCTTCCCTGCCGATCGTCAAGTGTGCTACACATGCACCTCCGAGGATGATAGCTTCTGCGAGTCGGATCCCAGCTACGCCTTGGCCTGTGCCTGGGTCAGCGATACGGAGACGTGCAAGACCTCGTTGACCAATGGAAATGTGACGACACGCGGCTGCAGCAGCAGCCTGGAGTGTGATCTGAGCGACTACCGCAACTGTCGCAGCTGTGTGGGCAGCGAGTGCAATGCCATCGATCTGGCCAATAGGCAGGATGATGGCCAGCATGGATTCTATCAGGAGCTGCCGCTCACGTGCCACAAGTGCGAGGGCGAACAATGCCACAGCTCGCTGGGGCCGGCTGTGACTTGCAATCAAAACATCGAGCAGGACTGCAAGACAGTTTTCGAGGCGGATGGCGTGACTGTGCGTCGTCGTGGCTGTTCGGATGATGTGGATGACTACGAGGATCGCTACTGCCGCCAGAATCCGGAACTGTGCCCCAACTGCAAGTCGAACGAGTGCAACGATGCCTGGAGCACCGAGGAGTTTGTCAGCTGTGTCTACTGCAACTCGGAGAAGAATGCAGCGTGCATTACGGATCCCACAACAAGCGGCCTGGGCAGGAGACAGTGCAAGGGCCAGTGCCTGGTGGCACTCCATGGCAAGCACACCATTCGCAGTTGTCTGGACGACAAGGAGCTCTACGATCGTGTTGAATGCAGCAACGATCAGAGTGGCACAGACTGTGCCACCTGCTCCGCTGAAACCTGCAACACCTTCAGCTATCCCGAGGATCGACTAAGTTGTCACGTCTGCGCGGACGCTGCCTGCACGAGCAGCCGCGCCGAGGCCTGTTTGGAGTACGACACGAATGACTATTGCTTTGCCAAGTACAATGCTGGCGTCGTGGAGCTGATTGGCTGTGCCAGCAGCCAGAACAACACCAGCCTCGAGGAGTGGCAGGCGGCCAATCAGCTGTGGACCTGCACCGGCAAGGAGTGCAACGATCTGAGCCGCCTGCCCGAAAACGATGAGTGCGTGTCCTGCGACTCCAGCAAGACCTTGGAGTGTGCCCAGAACCCGGCAGCTGTGAACACCACCATCATGTGCCATGTGCCCAACTCGAAGTGTGTCGCTCGCCTGGAGAACGGACACACAACCAGAGGCTGCCTCAGCGCACTGAGCAACACCGAGGCTGCCGCCTGTGAGGCCAACGGCAGCTGCTCTGTCTGCTCCGGCAACAAGTGCAACATTGAGATCTTCCCCGCCAACCGTCGCCGCTGCCACATCTGCAACTCTGCCTCACAAACACACTGCTCCGAGGATCCCAATTACCTCGCCGTTTGTCCCATCTACGATGCCAACGACGGCTGTGTCTCGGCCAAGGACTTTGACGGCTATCTTATCCGTGGTTGTGCCAGTGAAGTCAAGTGCGTGATCAGCAACGATGACTATTGCGAGGAGTGCAAGACAGATGGCTGCAACACGGCCAATCTGCCCGGCGCAGCAGCTCATCTCTCCGGCATTGGTCTGGGCCTGACCCTCATCGTTGCCTGGGCCATCAGCATGCTGCGATAGTCTGCCCTTTCGCCCTACTATACGTACATTTAGTTAGCTTTATAGAGTAGAATATGCTTACCATAATTAGAGCGCCCCCAGATCTACGTTCGATCAACAAACGATTTGTAAATAAACCAAACGAAAATATGAATTTATTTTGATAGAAATAAGTAGGAGGAAGAGCGTTAAAGTAGGCCCAAAGAAGGTCTAGACTCTCATTTTTTATGCCCGGTACTCGAAGAGTAATCCCTATTTACTATTATATTACGCACAGAAGGAAACATTTCCGACCCATCAACAGCCGAGTCGATTGCGCCATGTCCGTCCATCCGTCCGTCCGTCTGTCCGTCCTTATGAGCGCCTGGATCCTAGAAGCTAGAAGCTAGAGCCACCAAATTTTGCATCCCGACTTCTGTATGCTCACACTGTTATTTCACACTGTATTTCTTCTCCTTTGTACTTCTACTGAGTAGCGGGTACAAAAGTTGTGACGCGTAAGAAGCGTCTCACACGTCCCTTCTCGTTTAGAGATAATTTTTCACCAAGTGAATATTCTTGTAAGGGGCATAGATCAGTGGCGACTATCTTTCAAGAGAGTTGCTACTTTTGCAATTATTCTGAAAGAATTTGCATCTGAAAATATCTTAAGATGCTCTTTGTTGGTGTTTCCTCGACTTCCCTGCCTTCTTGCTGAGTTTCTTCCATGTCTGCACTTGAGTTCCAGTGTTTTGGTTGCCTTAACGCCTGTCTAGCTTCAGTAGCTTTAGATTTCTGCTAGACAGATGACTCAGCCAACTCCTCGCCAACGTTTTCCACGTCAATTTTGCGCTCGAATAAAGTTGAAAAGTGAAATTGCCTTCTCGCTGCTCAACCTCCCATTGCAAAAATCAAAAAACAATGGCCACGCAAAAACAAAGGAAAGAAAAAGTTTCCAAAACGCATCCATTGGAAATAAAATGCAAATGCAAATACGTTCTTTTGGCCTTTCTTCGGCGCGGAGTCTAAAGCAAATTGAAATTTGCTCAGTTGCCAAAATACAGAATAAAAGGAGTTGTTCCATTTTCCCGGTCAGATTTGTCCTTTTGGCTAATCGGTTGCCGCAGAGTTTTGTCATTCGAAATTGCCATCAAGATTGGGTCTCTCTTCCCCATCTCTGACCACAATCCGAAGTAGCCGTGGCATCGGTTGGACTGCAAAACGAATAACGAAGTCTGGACGGAGGAAACAACTTTCTGTGTTCGAGAAAGACTTGTCGCAAAGGCAATTTGATTTGCTTTTAATTGCTGAGCATTTGGCCGGTCGGTCACTCTTTGAAAAGAGCCAGCGATAAGCAATTGCGTTTTAGATTTATGGCCAGCAATTAAATGGCTGACAACGATTTAATGGCCAAATTACACAATAAGCAAGCCAAGCCACGCCACGCCACGCATGTGGGCGGGAACGATGCTCGGCACGGGCATGTCAAATGTAATGGCAAATAAATGAACTTATTGGGAGCTCTTCCAGCAAATTGAAACTGATTGGGTTGAGTCAAAGAAGAGAACAGATTTAAAGAGTGCAAAAAAGATAACTGCTTGGGGAAATCCCGAAGAATGGAATAGAATAAAAGGTGAAACCCATCCTCCATGGCTTCTAGTCTGTATAGAAGGTTTTAATTCGTAGATAAAATGGTTAATGTTTTGAAACTGAATCTCTGGGCTCTCCCATTGATAACTGTCTCTGTCTCTGTCTCTGCCACTCCTGTTGTTGATATCTCCATGCAGCTGTCACAACAAACTGTCTGTTAACCGAATTGCCTGCCTGTTGACCAATTTATTTAGTTGCATTTATCACATCGCCTAGCCCAGACACAACACCCCACTGCATGCCACCATGGCACACATTCACAGTCTCGTGTTGCTGACAGCGACAGCCACATTTAAAATCTATTAGTTTGCCAACTGCCGACTGGTAACTGCCAACTGCTGACTGCTGACTGGATTGTAGCGAATTGGATTGGTTAGTCTTGCAACCAGCTAACAGCAACCAGCACCACAAAGTCTGGCCTGGTTTTTGGTTTAATAAACTGTTGCGCCTGCACACAAGCTATTCGTGCTGCAAAATGAATTATTTTCGGTTGTTGTCATTTGATTAAAATGTTTGAGTGCCAGCGTCTGAGAAATTAATTTCAATATTAGCCCGTGGTGTGCGGGCGAGGAGAGCCTGTTTCTGGGGTATCACGTTCCAAATCAATTGCACACAAATATGTTGTATTATTTACTCGCAAAAACATTCAACAAACACGCTGCAAAAGCAACTCAGCATGCCACAGAATTTGTTATTTAATATCTGGAGATTTCCCTATGATTGTATCTATCAAGTTCATCCCTTTGAATGAACCTTACGCATTCCGGCCTTCTTGGGGGGTTTCAGGACGTAAAAGGAGCACATTAGCGTCTCATCCACGGACATCATGGCGCCGGCATTGTCGAACTCCCCGCAGTAGTTGGGCGCCGAGAAGACGGTGATAAGCTGACGCTTGGCAAAGAACTCGTAGCCATCCTCGACGACCTGATGGGCACGACAGATGAGATCGAATTTGTGGCGATGCACAAACTTGCCGACAATATCGGCGCCAAAGGTGACACTGACACCGCGATCGTTCTCGCCCCAGCCCATGATCTTGGCATCCGGATCGGACCACAGCAGATCACAGAGCAAGCCCTTGTCGGGCACATCGCAGGGGCGGATGAGCTGCGAGATCTGGTTCATGTTGAGCAGATCAGGACTGAGTCCTCCGTGGCAGCAGAATATCTTCTCGTCCACGATCGCCGCCACTGGCATGCTGTTGTAGCAGTCGACGAAGGTGCGCCACAGCTTGACTGTGTAGCGGCGCTTGCACTCATCGAAGAATCCATAGATGCGGTTGATGCCGGCGCTCTCATGGTTGCCCCGCAGCAGGAAGAAGTTCTCGGGGTACTTGATCTTGTAGGCCAGCAGCAGGCAGAGCGTTTCGATGGACTGCTTGCCCCGATCGACGTAGTCGCCCAGAAACAGATAGTTGGAGGAGGGCGGATAGCCGCCGTAGTCGAAGAGACGCAGCATGTCTGTGAACTGGCCGTGAATGTCGCCGCAGATCTTCACGGGAGCGGACAGCTCCAGCAGCATGGACTGCGAGAGGAAGACATCGCGTGATCGCAGGCAGATGCCCCGTATTTCAGTCTCTGATAGATGCAGTTGCTTGATGCGTCGCACATCGATGATCCGCAGGATCATCTGATCAATGTTGCTCAGATCCGTCGACAAGGCAATCGATGACATTTCCTGTCGCTCTCTGGTGGTCTCTCTCGATCACCAAACTTAAGGTTGTTAATTTTGCCAAACTAGAAATCAAAAGCAAATGGTGTTCGTATGGAAACATTTAAAATGACATTCCCAACGAAGCCTGCCCCGGCCTGAGACAAAGTCACTTGATGGCCGAGGCAATCACAGTCTTTAATAGAACCTTGCGACCCGAACTGGGGCGCTGCACATCGAACGAAATCATCAGATCCTTGTCCACCCCCATCGAGGCGCCCGCATTGTCATACTGCCCACAGTAGTTGGGCGCCGAGAAGATGGTGACCAGCTGCCGCTTTGCGAAAAACTCATAGCCATCCTCGACCACCTGATGGGCGCGACAGAGCAGATCAAAGTCGTACTTCTGCAGGAACCGCTCGAGCACGTCCCGGCCATAGAGGAAGCTCACACCCCGATCACTGGGCGACCATCCAAAACCATAGCGATCCGGATCGCTCCACAGCAGATCGCAGAGCAGTCCCTGGTCGGGCACATCGCAGGGCCGTGGTATGGACCTGATGTTGCTCATGTCCTTGAGCTGCGGACTCAACCCGCCGTGGCAGCAGAAGATCCGCTTTGAGATGATCGCCGCCACGGGCATGCAGCAGTAGCAGTCGACGAAGCTCCTCCACAGCTTGATCGTGAAGCGTCGCTTGCACTCGTCGAAGAATCCGTAGACCCGGTTCACCGATGGCGACTCGTGGTTGCCTCGCAGCAGGAAGACATTCTCCGGATACTTGACCCGCAGTGCCAGCAGCAGGGTGATGGTCTCAATCGAGTTCTGGCCCCTGTCCACATAGTCCCCGAGGAACAAATAGTTGACCAATGGCGGATAACCAATATGATCGAAGATGCGCAACAGATCCACAAACTGTCCGTGAATATCGCCCACAACGCGCACCGGAGCCTCGACCTTCAGAAGCATTGGTCCATCCAGGAATACCTCTCGTGCCGTGCTCGTCAGCTTGTACAGCTCGTCCTCGAGCATGTTCACGCGTGGCTGTTTGTTTTTTCGGAAATTCTTCAATCTGTTGATCAGATCGGTCAGATTCAGGCCGTCTCCCTCGGATGCCGAACTCCGCACTTGGCTGGAAAGCGACAGGATCGTTTGTCTCTTTTCGTTCTGCTCAAGTGGGCGCTTGGCAGTGGGCCGAACTTTGTTGCCATTCGTCATTTGGTGGCCAATTAGTATGTGTGTGGGTGTTTGTGTGTGCTTTCTTTGTGTGAGTCTTAAATAATTGAAACATTTATTTGAAAGGAAACAAAAGACTACCCATTTGACAATTGAAGAAATGTGTACGAATCGGTGGATTCAGCTGGGATGAGTTCATCTTTTATTTAGCTATTATTTAGCTATTAACAGCTAACCATCCAATGAAACAACAAAACGCAGAGCGTATTTAAACTCTTTGTAGACTATTAATTTGATTGTTTTTTGTTGAGCAATTTCCCCAAACAGTCAGTGAGGCCAAGAGTAAAAGAATATCATGTATGTGATGAAACCATTGTCAATTGGGGGTAACCATGTGAAATACGTTCATGTTTTGTTATATTTTGATGAACCGACACTGTTGAGGAACCGCTGAGGAGAACATAGCAATCAGAGCGATCCCATGGAACGATCAGTGCTGCAGAAGAAACTGGACGATATGATCACGTCGCTGGTGAATTGGAAGTCGGATAAGCGGCTGCCGATACCGGAGCCGGATATGGTGGCCATGCTGAATGTGGCACGACAGGTGCTGCTGTCGGAGCCCATGCTGCTGTCGGTGCAGCCGCCGGTCAACGTTCTCGGGGATATACACGGACAGTTCCGGGATCTGTTGCGCTACTTTGAGACATCGGGTCATCCGCCGAGTAAGCGATATCTGCTGCTGGGCGATTACGTGGATCGGGGCCAGTTCTCGGTGGAGACCCTGACCCTTCTGCTGGCCTACAAAGTGCGCTATCCGACGAGTGTGCACCTGCTGCGGGGCAATCATGAGTCGGCGAGCATCAACCATTACTACGGCTTCTATGACGAGTGCAAGCGCCGCTTCACGGTGCGCCTGTGGAAGAATTTCGTGGACACTTACAACTGCCTGCCCGTGGCGGCGGTGATTGACTCGAAGATCTTTTGCTGCCACGGCGGACTGAGTCCCGCGCTGCACGAACTCAGCGACGTGCATCACATCGAGCGGCCAGTGGAGATCAAGCAGAATGGCTTGCTGTGCGATCTGCTCTGGTCCGATCCAGATCCCGCAGTCACCACATGGACAAAGAACTCTCGTGGCGTCAGCTTCACCTTTGGCGTGGAACAGGTGGAGGCATTCCTCACGCGATTCAACTTTGATCTGGTCTGTCGGGCGCATCAGGTGGTGGAGGATGGTTACGAGTTCTTTGCCAAGCGGCAGCTCATCACCGTCTTCTCGGCGGTCAACTACTGCGGGGAGTACGACAATGCGGGTGCCATGATGTGCGTGGATCCCGATCTCAATATAACGCTCGTGGTGATGAAGCCCAAGAAGCACGAACACGATCACAAGAAGAAGCCCATAGTGGAGGGGGCTACACCGCACATGCTAACCGGCTGATACCGGCACAAGTTGTCTCTTTGTTACACTTCAATCTCTTGATTGTACAGACAATAGCTTTCAATATACATAAGTACAAGCAAATACCTTCGACACAATGAGCTTATTTTGTTCCAAGCCCAACATCGAGGATATGATACGGGTCCTGCTGTCGCGGCGTAGGCTGTCGGGAAGCCTGATCAGCGGCGAGGACATCACGAGTGTCTGCCTGCTGGTGCGCAGTGTCTTCCTGCAGGAGGACATGTGCCTGCGTGTGGCTGCGCCAGTCTGTGTTGTTGGCGATCTGCACGGACAGTTTGAGGATCTGCTGCGCATCCTGAACAACTCTGGCCATCCGCCGCAGCAGCGCTACCTCTTCCTCGGCGACTATGTGGATCGTGGCCACAACTCCGTGGAGACCATCACGCTGCTGTTCTGCTACAAGGTCTGCTACCCGGAGCACATATTCTTGCTGCGCGGCAATCATGAGAGCGAGGTGCTCAATCGCGTCTATGGCTTCTTTGACGAGTGCAAGCGGCGCTACACGATCAAGCTGTGGAAGACCTTCGTCGACTGCTACAACTGCATGCCAGTGGCGGCGATCGTCTCGGGTCGTGTGTTCTGCTGCCACGGCGGGTTGAGTCCCCACCTGCGCACCATCGAGCAGATCAACCAACTGCCTCGCCCCACCGAAATACCTCATCAGGGTCTGCTCTGCGACCTGCTGTGGTCCGATCCGCATCTCAAGTCCTATGGCTGGACGCACAACAAGCGGGGCGTGAGTGTGTCCTTTGGTCGGGACATGGTCGAGCGCTTCCTCAACCGCAACGACTTTGATCTCATCTGTCGCGCCCATCAGGTGGTCGAGGATGGTTACGAGTTCTTTGCCAAGCGGCAGCTGGTCACCGTCTTCTCGGCGCCCAACTACTGTGGCATTTTCGAAAATGCCGGCGCCACCATGATGGTCGCTGAAAATCTGACCATCTCCTTCGACATCTATCCGGCAAAGAAAGATAAAAGATCCACGCCACAGGTCCACACCAGTAAATCGATGCAGCTGGGTCCTCGCGAGAGTGCAAATGTCTTTAAGGCTGCCATGAATCGGATTAACGATAGAATTAAACGCACTGCCCCAAACCCCCCACAAAATGTTAATATCGATACTTAAAGAATAGATTTAAAAGTGATTAAACCTATTGTTACCGTTTACTTTAAAAGATTTAACGCGGTTCTTAAAGTATTTTCTCCCTTTTGTCCTTTTGCAGGGACACCGATGTAATTTCCGCAACAGTTTTCTCTCTTGCCACTCGGCCAACATTTGCAACTTCAATATGCAGTCTGCAGTCTCGACACATGTGGCATGGACAGTGGAGCAACCAACGGAGGAGTCCTCTTCGTCATCGTCATCGTCATCGGCAGTATCTGTCTGAGGTGGGTACGTGTCTTCATCGTTTTATTAGTTTTTGCTCGTATATTTTTATACATGCACGAGCCTGCATGTTGGACTCGCATCGTGTCCAAAGGAAATTGAATTAACTCGAGCAGCAAATTCAATTTAATTTTAGCCAGCATCCAGAACAAAAGCAAAACATTGAGAAAATAATGCGCCAGTGCATTTATGCACAAATTATGAATATTTAAAAGTTCTTAAAAGGGGAAATTATATGTGAGTGCACCCTGCCCTAGAGTGCTTCATGTTGATAAGCTTTTAAAAGGCACATAGTTGGGTAAAAATTCAATGTTCAGCTGCTGGCAAAACCCATTTATCTCTGCTCAATCAAATAATTCAACCAAATACGAGTACCACGTGCCTTTGCCAAAAAAAAACAACAAACATCTGGCATTCGACTAAACCCCCGACAATCGAATTTGTTTAGCCACAAAACAGACAAAACATCGGGTTAGCGATACAGCTATATTTTTTTCTAGAGCCGCGGCATTATTTAAATTGGATTTTTACAAAATCAAGTTGATTGTTTTACAAACAATGGAAGGGAGGAGGGTGGAAATTTATATTCTATGTTGGTTCTCTGGGCTTAAGCGATATTTATTTATGGCCTCCAACGGGTATGCTGTCCCTGCTCCCCTATTGGATCCTCGTACCTCCCAACCTCCCAATTCGGATCCTACAGTGTTATTTTGTATTTATTTTCTAGAAGAAACAATTGCACAATTGATTTGCATGCATACAAATTTGTTACAGGGATTTAAGCCGGAATGATTTATGGTTACGTGGATTCGATTTCCGCGCCACAACCAAACACAATTTGAGGTTGAAGAACTCGAGAAATACTTTTAATTTAGTTACACAAATAAAGGGGAAATCTTTGCATTAATTGTTTCTACTTATTTATTGTGTATCTATATTTTGCGCTTTATTAACTCTGTACGCAGCATTATGCCGGAAATGCAACCAATTTACATTGCAGTTGGCAAACGTTTAACTATTTTTGGCGCATGGCGACTACTTGGCACCATTTGGTCAGCACCAAAAGCGATATAGAACCTAACAAAAAGGGGCAGCGTTTCAGATATTCTCAGGGTCGAAGCGTAGGCTACCCTTGAATACGCTTTCGTAACAGCTCTGAATCTTGTATAAGTTTAGACACAGCAACAAAACACCATTAAAGTGCTCTGACAGCTCTGACTGTGGGCATACTGTCGGTTATGCCCATCTTCTACCCTGCTGGAAAGATTGCATGAAACTTTAAAAATATATACAAATAAATTAGGCAATCACACGCTACAAAAACGAAGCGAACGCAATGCGGAGAGGAATTCTGTGTGGCGCCAACAGGGTTGCCAGGCGCCACAATGACTGCGCTGGCCCGTGGCCCTGTCCAAAGGGGGCAACAACCCTGGCGCTTCATGGTTTTCCATTAAATTCCTTGCCTTGGCTACGCTTTTTTTTGGCGAGAGATAGATAAATGTAAATAGGAAATGGAATGCATGACTTGCTCCAAACAAAATGTCTCAATTTTATTTTTGGTGACTGACCCAAAACCGTTCAGTGCGAAAAGCGTTTGAAAAATGGTCTCCGCAAAAGGCTGCGGAAAAGTGTGTTAGTTGGACAGGCGTCCCCTGGGAGCGGAGCTTCGAGGTGGTTGACTTGACTGCTTTGGCAAAGGGTTATAGAGAAGAACTGCTACAAGTTTTGATTTAAAAATTTAAAGAGTAAGAACCTTAGAGAGAAAGTCACGTAGTCCAATTCAGTTGGAAAGGGCCTGGAGGCAGTCGCACGAATGCTGCACCTGGGCCTTAGGACATGTAATGCATTCGGATTGCCGCTTAATTAACCTTCACGTGCCGCTGACTCCCGTCTGTGGTGTCAGGTGTGGCAAATATTTGGCATATGGCGCCTCTGCACTGCACTTAATTAGCATTTGTTCCACATCTATATATGGGTAAATATTTGAACAACTTAATTCAATGCAAAACACGCGCCAGGCACTGCCCACCCAAGTTCTAATTTATGTTTGGTAAATGATAAGGTAAATGGCAAACGATTACTAGGGGTCATATGTTTGGACATTACCACGTCTCAACGATAATGGGCCACTGCTGTAAGTCACTACTGTAAACGACTTGAACTATCTACTAACTATATTTCGGGCTAAGGCAACGATTTATTGTACTCGCAGACTTATCATCCAGAACAGAACAGAACAGAACAGAACGGAAACAAAGTGAGCGAAGCAACCCTCGCGATGACTAAGTCAGTTGGTCAATGGAGCCCAACCCCCGTAGATCTTCCCCAAGGATGTTCAGAGTAAACGATGCTGACACTGACACAGACACAGACACAGATAGCAGGTCCTTCGGGGGATGGTACTGTGTTGACTGGTGCCAATTTTCTGTTGATTACAACACTCCCACACCCACCTATCGACCGACCTGCCATGCCCCCTGTAGTGGCTTGACAAGGGTCAAGTGAAAGTTTTACGAGCAACTAAAGCTAAACTGTTGCCCCACACCCACTTGCACGAGTAGCCCCTTGGTATAGTGTCTCTGGCATCTATTTATTTTTAAGTTTAATTTGTTTTCCCGTCGCCGAAAGGGAAAGCATAAACAGAGGAAACACCTCTAATTGGCATCAGATTTATCTGGTACAAACTTCAAATAGAAAAAAAATAGGTGTGAAAGCGAGTCGAAGTGCCTTGACAGCGCCTGAGGGTGACAGAACTGGGTTAGAAATTGATCTTGTCAAGTTACTTGCACTTGTTAGATTAAGCCAGAGACCACAGGTTGGACTGTAAAATGTAATTAAGTCTTTCCACTTCCTAGTAGAACTCTCTAGCCGGCTCATCCAATCACAGCCACCGCAGATTCCCCTTTCGAAGTGCAACAACTTTAGTGAGAAATGTTACATAACTTTTCCACCCAGAAAACTCTCTCTCTGTACTAAATCTTTCACACAGCGAACTGCGATGTAGAGGGAGGGCCGTCAGGGTTTTTGGCAATGCTGCCAAAATCATACATCAATTTGGGGACATTCGTCAGTGCCAGGCCACAAATGTGACATGGACCAGAGGCAGAGCGCCATGCCATGCCATGCCGTGCGACAGACAGGGCTGGTAGGGTGGCTGGCAGGCAGCAGCGAGGTACGACTACGAATACATGGCTGCAGCATTGTCAAAACAATTAATCATTGATGAAGAAAATGCGCACGGAACCAGCAAATTCCCGGCCGAATGCCAGTGCACACACATCTGGATTCTGATGGAGCAAATTCCAATGCAGAATCAGGCGGCATTTATTCTTGTTTGTTCAATGGACAAGACCACACATTAGACACATTTCCGCATTATTATTTCAATTAGTTGTCATACAAATGAATGCCAATGCAGCCACAGGAGTTTTGGGATATTTTCAATAGAGAGGAAATCAAATCTAAACAAGACATGCAGTCAGGCCAATAATTTGCTTGTTAATTAGGCCACAATAAGCCACATTTGATTTGCTAATCAAAATTATATCATTCGAATAATGGCTTTCAAATTATTAACAAACCTCTGCTCCCGACAAATGCATTTCCATTGTCGTCTCATTTGGGGGTTAGCCAATCGGATTTATAATTTGAGCATAATTTTAGAACATTTCTGGACATAAAACACATCCATAAACTCCATCACTCTGGCTACCATTGATGGACCGACTTTTATGGTCATTTTATTATTCAATTTTTGCGTTATTTAAATGTGTCAACAAACAAGATTTTTATGGCACCAATTTATTTATATTTCTTCTCCATTATGTCTGATATTGGGTCAGTTTTGATGCCTTCTTTACGACGATATTCCCATCCAAATTAACAAGTCGTTAGGGAAGCATAAAATATGCAATCGATAGAGAAAAAACACAGTTGAATCACCTGTCGGGCTAGCATTGAAAATGTTTTTTTACTATCAATATTGGGAGTCTGGGAATGCTTTTAGAAATGACTTTTCATGTTCAACATTTCAACGTCTTTTGTTTTCAAGTGTTCATCTCTCTCGTTGGGACTTTTTGTTTGTTCTTTAGGTTGTTCGAAACAAGCTCTTAGAGTGCCTTAGCGTGTGACCCTGCCCTGTCCATGCTCATTTTAGCAAGTTAGTGAGTAAATTTTGGACATTGAAGTGCCAGCAGCTATGGGAGCTCAATTTTATGATCATCAATTGCATCTTTTGCATCGTATTACCTACCCTGCGATTAATCCATTATATACTATGCACCGAGCAAGACGCTTGCGTGAGGCGCTTCCATTGCATGCCACTCGAGGGTTGCATGCAAATTATTGCAAGTATGTTGAGCATGCCCAAAAAATCATTTACATATTTTTCCACCGACTCTTTTTTAGCAGCCGCACTTTCAACAAGTACAAGTCATAATCGGTATGTGTAAAAAAACAAAAATGTACGCAAATCGCGTGCTGGTGTCGAAAGTACCACAAACAGTAGGTTGCAACTTGAAACTTTGCGACGACCAAGACGACGAGCACGACGGCGATGATGATGATGATGATGATGATGGCTGTTGCATGTCGGGCAAAGTTTTTAGCATCGAACATTTCTCTTCGTTTTGACCTTCGATAAAGTTGCGCTTGTAAAACATTTTCCCCTAGTTCTGTGGCTGTAGCTGTGGCTGTGGCACTGACATTACCTTTGCCACCACAGCACTGACAAGAGTTCTCTTTGGTTTCGCTTTTTGCCCACGAATCCTTTGGGTTAACCAACAGCAAACGAAACTTTGTAGTCTGAAAAGGTGGCGGTGGTCCGAAATGAAAAGCGAATGAAACGCGCAAATGGAATAACTAATTAAATTTTCAGGGAGCTGCCGTTTCGGTAGCCACGGACTTGTGATAGTTTCAGGCTCCCAGCTAACTGCCGGCTTAATTAACTTGGCAGATAAAATTTTATGGCAAGTCGTGGCACTGCGGATAGCAAAACATAATCTATTCACTTTTATATGGCCTGGCCATGGCTGTGTGTCTGAATGGTTGAATGGTCCTCGTCGTTTCCATAATGGGGTTGTCTATGCAAATATGTTGCAATATCCCCAATTCCCCTTCAATGGCTTTTGGCATTCATATTGCACGGGCACGAGTGTGCCTGGTATTCCTGGTGGCTCTCGAACACCTTTCCACTCTGTGCGCATAAATCAAAAGTGCAATTTTTCAACACGCACCCAACGCTGTCTGTTCAAAAATTTTCCAGTTATGTACACGTGCCGCACCATGTTCTGCTGGCAAGTAGAGGTCACTTCGTGTCGTGTCGTGTCGTGGCGACATAATTGCTTTTTTTGTTGTGGTTTTGCACCGCTGCAAGTTGATCCTTAAAGCGCAAATATTTTGTGTATTTAAAAGGTGCATTTTATTTGTATCTCCATTCTGTTTTAGGTCTGAATCTGTTTCAAGGGTCTACTCTATGCCTGATTAGAGAGAAGGCGGTGCTTCCTGATGGTTCCTCTGGCAGACGCCATCCGGGCACTTGTCCTTCATGCAAATGCCATTGGAGCAGATGCATCCGTCTTGGCCACCAGGGCACGGGCACTTCCCAGGCTTGCCAGCCGCCTCCAGTGGGGATTTGCTGCTGCAGGAAGAGATTTTCTCGGTGTTAGCATCAGAGTTGGATGGCTGCATGGTTACTGTGTGTGGAGCGTAAATTAAAGGTTAATTTCGATTGGTTAACATAGCTAAGACTATTTACCTATTGAAATTTATGTTTTCCGGCTGCCAAAAGTATTTTTTTGAAAAGTTACGAAACGAATAGGACTTATGTGTCTGACCTTTGTCTACGGAATGAGTTTATTCAGACTGTGAACAGAAAAAGACAGCTGATTTTATAGCCTACTTAAATATTTATCACTTATCAAGCAAGGCCTTTTCTGTGCGCTCTGCCATTTTGATGGACCTGTGTGCAGAGTGGTAATTGGCCAAGCAGGAGGCATGTTTAATGAGCGCTTAGTAGTTGGCAACATCTAATGTGCATATTACAATGCCAATTAACATATTTTGCCATCGTGTTTAACCAAGCCAACGACCCAGAGCAGTGTCCGCAGCTCCAATCAGTCGCAGGCAGAACTTTGTTGGTGGTCACGTTGCCCAGACCCAGACCCAGACCCAGACCCAGACCCCCATAATTGCCAAGTCGCCAAGTGCAGGTAGGTCTGGCTGTGGGTCTGCGGCGTCTGCTTTTGCCTCTACCGCATAGCACACCCGTAAATAACCACACACACGCACACACACGCTCGGGTCCACTCCCATTTAAATGCAGGAGTGGGGTGTAGAGCTATTCGTTGGTTTTTTTGTTGTCCGCTTCGGTTTTGTCTAGTACCCGGCATTATGCAAATGGCACTTTGTTTTAACTGCGTGCACTGCGGTCGGACATGGCCATGGGCCTGGCTCTGATGGCTGCCCGGTGTCCAGTCCTCGAGCTGACATTAGTTCGTCATCATCATCAGCTGCAGCTCCCAGCTCCCAGCTCCTCTCTCCCTCTCTTGATGCATTACGCGGACAATTAATATGCCAAGTGCTATGTGTGCGCATACTAATGACTCTCCATGAAGAGAGCGTGCCCCATCCAGACTCCACTCTCAGCCACTCACCCATCGATTGCTGTTCATCTGTGAAGAAGCGCAGGCGCAGCAGCGGGAGCGGGACCGGGAGCGGGAGCATCATGAGTGCCGGCGCCGCCTCCACACAGCATTACATGTGGGGGCTATGGCTACTTAGGGCCATGACCAATATGACTCATGACGTGACCGGACACGTGCGACTGCCAAGTCAGTTGCATCGTTAATCTCCCCACACAATTGCCGGCTAAGGAAAGTCTTTCCGCAGACAGGTTCAAGTCATCTCAGGGCGGGCACTTTTATGGCAAGTGCAGCTTTTGCTCGCAAGAATGACCAGAACAGCCAGTTGTGGCTGTGACCAGAAACTGATCTGAATGCTGATCTGTAGCCTTCCATAGATCACCCTGTATCTGGTACGTTCGCGAATCGGTGAATCAAGCCACGTAAATGGTGTAAAAGTGACAAAAGCCTAAAGAAAAGCAGCAACAAAGCGACAACCACAACCCAGTAAAAACAAACGTATGTAGAATAGCCCCAATAATATAAATCAAAAGAAAGTAAAACCACGGATCCAACATAAATAAAATAAATTAATTTCAATAAATCTTGAAGCGGGGAAGTAAAAACTTTCGCTACTTCAGTGGCGCAAAATCCCAAACCAAAAGTAGACTTTTGTGGATGAAGTGGTGGCTGAGGTGGTCAAGCGGCTGCCCTGAGGCGCCCACGCATGAGCAGAATACAAATGCAAATCCACATGAGACGGCGAGTGTCTCTCCGTCTCCGTCTCTGTCTCTGTCTCGCTGTCTGGGTTGAGTGTGTGCGAGCGACAAAGCGGCGACCGATTGGCAAAGTGGACGTGCCACCGGCCAGAACCACTTTTGTTGCTCGGCCATGGGAATTTGGGTGAAATGGGGCTGGCTTTCAAATATCATTTCTGCCCGTTCAGTTTGCCACTAGCCACGGCAGTCGCTGGTGTCGCTCTGGAGAAAGCAAAAACCAAAAAAAAAGAAGACGCGAAAGAGAGTTCCAGTGAAATGAGTAGAGCTTCGATTGGACTAGTGATCTGCCTGGTGCTGGTCCTCCTTGGGCCGGGCCAAACCTTTGCCGAGGAGCAGCAGCAGCCAGCTCGCCCGGAAGCCACGCCGGTTTCGCCACTGCTAAAGCAGTCCCAGAACACCTTCATCCAGTGGGTGCTCTCGCTGTTGCCCCAACGTCCGGGCGGCTCGGATGGCGAGACCGCCACGCTGGCCACCCTGAGCAGCAGCTCCACGAAGCCAGAGCCCGCGAGCAGCAGCAGCACCACCACCACCACCTCGACGACGCCAGCGCCCTCCTCCAGCAGCACCACCACCAGGCGGGCCACCACAGCGGCGCCACCCACCCTCAGTCCGCCGCGCAACTGCACGGACTGCGTCTGCGGCATAGCCAACATTCAGAAGCGGATTGTCGGCGGACAGGAGACGGAGGTGCACCAGTACCCCTGGGTGGCGATGCTCCTCTACGGCGGACGCTTCTACTGTGCCGCCTCGCTGCTGAACGATCAGTTCCTGCTGACTGCCTCCCACTGCGTGTACGGCTTCCGGCGGGAGCGGATCACCGTCCGCCTGCTGGACCACAATCGCAAGATGTCCCACACGCAGAAGATCGATCGGAATGTGGCGGAGGTGATTACGCATCCGAAGTACAATGCCCGCAACTACGACAACGACATTGCCATCATCAAGCTGGACGAGCCGGTGAAGTTCGACGAGGTGCTGCATCCCGTGTGCATGCCCACGCCGGGCAGAAGCTTCAAGGGGGAAACTGGCATCGTCACCGGCTGGGGCGCCCTCAAGGTTGGCGGTCCCACCTCGGACACACTGCAGGTGAGCAAATGACACTCCATCGGCGATCGAGCGACTTTCCCAACTAAAATTTGCATCTTTCACGCACTTTAGGAGGTGCAAGTGCCCATCCTGTCCCAGGACGCATGCCGCAAGAGTCGCTATGGCAACAAAATCACGGACAACATGCTCTGCGGCGGCTACGATGAGGGTGGCAAGGACTCGTGCCAGGGCGACAGCGGTGGACCGCTGCATATTGTGGCCAGCGGTACGCGAGAGCATCAGATCGGCGGTGTTGTCTCTTGGGGCGAGGGCTGTGCCAAGTCCGGTTATCCTGGTGTCTATGCACGCGTGAACCGCTACGGCACCTGGATCAAGAACCTCACCAAACAGGCTTGCCTCTGCCAGCAGGAGACCAAGAAGATCAAGTAGTTCTGCGCTGGGTTCTTCCAGTAGTCTTGCTCTCAAAATACTCTGTCAGAGAAATGTTCGATTCCCAAATACTTTAGCTCTCAACTGAAAGATGGGTTTTCAGCAGGACAAACCCATTGTTTCTTTACCAAAACAAAACCAAACTTATATCTAAGGAAAGTCGAACTTTTTAGTGAAGAAAAAAGCTCAAGACTTTCTTCAGATGTACTTAGATTCTCCGCCCTAGAATCGTCTTCCAGCTCTGCCAGAGTATCCCGACTTCGGCTCCGTCGAAGATCACATTCTCAAGCTGTTTTATATTTATTGATTAAAAGAAAATTCGCTACATAGAAATCTCTCTCGGGCGGTGGCATTCACCTTTCCCTGGAGCCGGTTCTACTGGTTCCATTCTCTCCATTCGTTTCTAGTTCTTGGCTCTAGTTGTCTTTCTGACCATGGCCAGGATGCTTTCGGTTAGTTGCCAACTGCCAGTTGGCCAGAAAAGTTCGCCATGCGATACACTTGTCTGCTGTTCATCGCTGTGGTGGCTCTGGGAGATGTGGGCTGTGCCACTCCTCGTCTGCCCAGCGCCGCAGAGCCAGCCAAGATACTGGAGTCGCTGAGCACCATCAGGCAGAACAGCTTCCTCGACTGGATCACCTCGATCCTGGGCCCGGAGTACTCCGACTCTGGTGTGCCGGCCAAGCGGCAGTGCGCTGCCTGCGCCTGCGGCAACATCAACACGCGCCACCGCATCGTCGGGGGCCAGGAGACGGAGGTGCACGAGTATCCCTGGATGGCCATGCTGATGTGGTTCGGCAGCTTCTACTGTGGCGCATCGCTGGTGAACGATCAGTACGCCGTGACCGCAGCCCACTGCGTCAATGGGTTCTACCATCGTCTGATCACGGTCCGACTGCTGGAGCACAATCGCATCGACAGCAATGTGAAGATCGTGGACAGGCGGGTGGCGCGTGTGCTCATGCATCCTGGGTACAGTACCCGCACCTTTGACAGCGACATTGCCCTCATCCGCTTCAGCGAGCCGGTGCGTCTGGGCATTGACATGCATCCCGTGTGCCTGCCCACGCCCAGCGAAAGCTATGCCGGACAGATGGCCGTCGTCACCGGCTGGGGTGCCCTGAGCGAGGGCGGACCCGTCTCGGACACTCTGCAGGAGGTGGAGGTGCCCATACTGACGCAGCAGGAGTGCCGGGACAGCAACTACGGCGAAAAGATCACCGACAACATGATCTGTGCTGGACTGGTGGATCAGGGTGGCAAGGACTCTTGCCAGGGCGACAGCGGCGGACCGATGCATGTTCTGGGCGCCGGCCAAGCCTATCAGCTGGCGGGCGTTGTGTCCTGGGGCGAGGGCTGTGCCAAGCCCAATTCCCCCGGCGTCTATACTCGTGTGAGCAACTTTAACGAATGGATCGAGTCCAATACCCGCGATGCCTGTGCCTGTTCCCCATCCGGGGAGCAGGAACCAGCCGAACCAGTCTCCTCCACCATCACCACCGAGCAGGCAGTGGCAGAATCGGAGAACACCTCGCCGGCAGGACAAACCGGCGAAGATCCTGAAGTTGAGGAAGCTAATAAATTGATCTAAGATTACACATTTTCTTTCCACTTACATATGCCCAACAGGCGAGTAATTCTACGAGTAATAAAGGCAATTTGCCCCGTCAGTATGGGATTGCATTTTAATTTTCATATTGGTTCCACTTGGATGATTCAATCGAGTTTCATGTAGATGCAAAAACAAGTATTCGAGCGATCTCCACTTCGCTTCTTTGGCTTTCTTTGGGCTCTCTGGTAATTGGTTCTCTCAATCCTCGTACCACTTCGATTCGACTCACTTTAGCGGGAGTCTTTCTGGTTGTTCCAGTTGCGGCTTGTTAGCCCCACTCCTGCTTCAATTTCCGCCTTTTCAGTCTTTTCAAGTCCACCCTCGAGGCATTCCACAATCTTTTTGCTCCACGAAATTGCCACTAAATCAAAAAAATACTCACACTCCCAATGGGCCCGGCAACATGCAGCAATCGCCGCAGACACCTACACTCGGATCGGAGCTGCGTTCGCTGTGCGTGCCTGTCCCATCGGTCCAGTCCTGCCCAACATTGATAAACAACTAAATAATAGAATAAACAGCTGAAAAAAAGAAACCACACCTTTTGTTTAGTGCATGGTGCATGGCAAAAGGCACCAAAAATTATGTTCATCCTCGAGTGAAGTGGAAATGTGCGGCCAAATTGGCTTTTGTGGTAACAACATTTTGTTTTACCAACTCTTTGTTGGTCTTTCTCCTCTGGCCAGGGGCAAATTTGCTGCAGTTGAGCTGAGTTTTGTTTTGTTGTATTTCATTTTTTGTTGCTGCACTTTTGCCGAGAGCGCCGCAGGTTAGAAAAGTTTATTGGGGCGTTAAATTTGTTTGATTGAATATTAGGGCTGCGGCTTCGCTTTCGATGCCCAATCGAGGATTTTATAGAGGTGAAAATAAACAATCATTTATTGAGAGTACGACACGGTTCGAAATGCGGGAATGACAGGGGGGAGAGCGGTGCTCAGGCCAGACCAGTTACACGCAGAGTGGCGATCACCGTCTTGACAAAACCCAATATAGAGAGCAGGGCATACACCAGAATTTTTTCAATAAAAAGCAACCCAAACTGCACCATACTCGCTGCTGGCTGTAGGAATCATTAGAGGACAAATCCCTCGAATGTATGCAGAATTCTTACCCCAAGAAACGTCATGATCAAACTGATAGCACGCTCGGCCAGGGTCACGGTGAGGCTTAGGCAGGTAATCAGGCCCAATATGGTGATCAGGGTCAGGACTTCCACCAGTCGCACAGCAACGGCCATTCTGCGGAAGGAACTTCTTCGGTTCGCAAATATTCGAAAATTTATACAAAATTCCAACGTTAAGTTTGAAGTATTTAGAATTTATACACATGTTGACGGAAATGTCTAGTAGCCATCGGATTGGAAAAAGCAACGAGTTATATTTATTTACATTCAATAAACAGAAGCTTAAAGTGATGCACTTGAATCACTCAATCAGGTCATAAAAGGGGGCAGCAGATTGAAGTAGAAGTAAATGTGGGAAATCGAGTCCCTGCGGAGTATGTGCCTTATGTGCCACCGGGTATGGGGTCAGTCCCACTTGCTATCATTTATGTCTTTTGCTGCAGCTTTGTCATTATAGTTTTTCAATCATTTTAGCTATATTTTCCGACATTTTCCAATTACGCTATGCAAATGCAATTTGTCTGGACTGCGTGCAATTAAGCGCCGTTGCGTTCCGTTCCCACAGCCTTTTCCTTTTATTGGATGCTGATGGGTGTTGTCTGTGCCGGCATAGATTGCTCTGAATTATGGCACTAAATGGCTAGACATGTTACATAATTCATTTAGTCTGCACGGGAACAAATTCCATGATATGGAACATGTGCTCCTCTCCCCCAAAAACCCAACCCCAACCGCAATCCCAATTCTCTTTTTCTCTATCAAAGTCAGTGCACCATTGTGCACGGGATTTATTTATTATTTTACTAGAGTTTATTATGATATGGCAAATTCAATTAGCAGCCCACAAACTGGATGAACTGGGACTAAAAATAAAAAGAAATTAATTGATTTCCATGGGCCTACAATATTGTGGTCGTATACTGCACATTATTGACTTTTCTGCAGTTTCTATGAAGGATATTTTGGTGTTTTCTTTTGATTTTTGCTGCTTGCCTTTTGGGCTCTGGCTTCATAAAAATCCAAAAATAAATATTTGCACACGTTGTCTGGCAAGAAGACAAACTTTTTTGTCACAAATCCCCCACAGAGAGCTGTCTCTGCCCCCGGGGCATGCCCCAGCCTAAGTCGAAGGGGAAAGGCCACAGACGAAATTAAAATAAAATGAAATAAAGTCAAATAAAATACAATGTACAAGCTGACGCTGTAGCTACTTATTGCAAGGGCTGACTACAAATACAAATGACTTGCAATATTTGCAAGAGTTGCCTTTTGTAGGTTTATTTATTTGTATGTGAGGAGTGTGAATGTGGCAGAGACAGCTGAATCGACATTGCCAGTGATTTTCTATGAGAATGGCTCTGAGCACATTCTCCGGTAGAAGACGAAATTGACCTTAGAAGCAGTTCCAATTATATATATATTTTTATTTGTGTGTCTTCCATAAGTACACTGTATTTGCTGTGGATGTAATTGGTACTCGGGGCTGCACTTAGCCAAGAGAGTATATTCCAGATACTCGTAAAAGCCGCAGAGTTTCGTGAATTTTGAATAAAAATCCCTTTCCATCATGCCTGGAAAAATGTGCATTAAGCGATGCAAGAGAAAAGAATGAAGGAAACAAAAATTGAAGACCGGAAAAGCCACCTGTTATCCATACGCAGTGGGTGTCAGTGGGTGTCTGTTCAATAAATATTCAGCATTGATGCTGAGTGCATGCCCCGAATGCCAGTGAATTCCGATAAACTGTCGTCGTCAGCTTGCCAGGAAGTTCAATTGTATCTGAACGCTTCAGTAAATCAGAAATAAGAATGTCAGCACTTGGGGCTGCTACTTTTTAAAGACTGATGCTGATGGTCAACGGAGGGCTCTTTAATGCTGATAAATATCTGTTGAGAATTGTTTCACCTAATTTCCCCAGCACTAGTTAGCTTTTTATGTGTTTAAACTTTAGGGTCAGTAGACTGCAATAATTTATAATTCGTCAGTTGAAATGTTCTTCTTTCAACAAGCGAAAGCTCATTATAATTCCAAACGAGAAGCGGACCAGTCGTGTCCCTTCCCATCCACCACGTGCCCGCTCCGAGGAGACTCGTGTGTCCTTGTCTCTCTGTGGGTTTTATTCCTTTGATTTCATTATTATTTTTATTGCTTCGTCGTACATTTGACCGTCCAACTGACTGAGTTTCAAACCATTGGCCAAGTCCTGCCCCATCCCCCCGCAAAAGGCGCATTTTAATTTTATTATTTTGGTTTCGTGAATTCCATTGAAATTCGCATCTAAAAAGGGTATTCAAGGCAGGGCATTCATTCACTGATTGTGAACTTTTTCCATGGTTTGTTGTGATTCTACTTTTTGGGCCAAGGCAGATACACGCCCCACTTGCCACATTTTGATACAACTTTTGTTTTATGTCTCTCTTTGCATTCTTCGCCTTCTTATTAGGAATTAATAATCTTTTCCTTTTTTTGTTTGTGCAGCCATAAGCTAGCTACAAATTTGGCATTTTGTATTTTTTTATGATTTCTTTTGGCGCAGATGGGAGGCCTTGCCCGCTCGTGAATCATGGTTATGCCGGCTATAATTTAGTTTTAATAGCATTTTCTGTGACATTTATGCTGTCAGCGCGTCATCCAGTTTTATTAATGTCCAAATGAGCTTCGCAATATACTTATGATAGGACTTGTATGATATCATTATAAAGAGATTTAATGCCAGCGCTTGTCTTTGGCGTTGTCTCTGTGCGCTAAATGAAGTTATGTCATGGGCTTCTGTTTGGAATTGAGGATAGTCTGGGTGGGTACGAGTAGCTTTCGAGAGACTTTGGTTTTGCTTTTAAAGGACTTGTAAATGTTTCTTTGGCACCAACATGGAAGTAGCTCCAACTTAAATCCAAGTTGCAATGTAAATCTGTCCTAAAGGCATACACAGCTCTGGGCTTAGTTACCTTTCTTCCCCTCTCCCACAATTCTGATCTGTTGAGCACTGCTCTGGCTCTTTGAATGGCCCTGCTGAGCCATTATGTGCCAAGTCGTTTGGACCATGTTAACACTCAGTTAATGGTTTCGCCTTTCCCACTGCCACGAGTATTCTCTTGCATTTTCCATTTGCAGCGAGCTTCGTTTTAATGAGGCAGCCACAAGGCAAACACAAGGCAGAACGGCTGAACGCGGACCTAATCATCTCTGGGCTCACTTAAGTAATAAAGCAATTTACCGCCTTTCAATATCCTTTAACCATTTTTATATTTTTATCCGTTCCTGGGCTCTCAGTGCCTCTCTATGGGAATCCCTTGAGGGTGGGGAACTCCCCCCACACAAATTATTTTCCCGCTGCTTTCCACTTTGTCCTCTTTTTGTGCCACTTTTCCTTCGTTTTATTGTTGGTCCAAAGGGGAGGCTGCTGCTGTCGCCGTTTTTCCGACTTGGCCAGCAGCACACGTTGCCATTTTTATGTCTTAGCCGGGCAGCCGGGCAGCCGGGCAGGGAGTGGATCTAGAGGAGCAGCAGCTCAGGGCATGAATTTAGAGGCGCAGCAGGGCAGGAAGTGGATCTAGGGGAGCCGCCGCACTGGGACTGAATCTGTTGGAGCAGATTGGTTCGTCGCCTGTGGCGTTGCCAGACCAGTTTGATTTTAGTGTCCGGATTGTCATGGCCAAAGCCAAAGCCAAAGCCAAAGAGCAGACATTGTCCTGCTGCTTCTGATGCTGCCTCTGGTGTGTAATGATTTTATTACACGATTTTCTATCGAATTTTATTACCTTAGTGCATGACGTTGCGCCAGAATTGCGGCAAGTCCTTACTTCCGCCCAGCCCTTGTGCAGCCCTTGCGGCCATCCAAATGGAATTTACGCACTCATAAAATTGTTCCCCCCTTCATGTGAATTGTGTGGGAATATATCCGGTCAAACGTTCCACCCACACACCTTCCGGGTCATCATAATTCAATATCATAAAACGTTTATCCAATTAATTTCCACCGCTAATATTTATGATCCGTTCGTGCGGGCATTCGTAGGGATATTTACATGAATACTTGTACGTATGGGAATGTTGGACGTACATTTATTATGATATAGTTCTGTAGCTGCTGTCGAAAATTAGTTTGAGTATATGTAATTGAGTGAATAATTTATAGTTCTATACCGGCAAAAGTATAGCCTGGCAGAACTGAAAGAGATTAAGACTCTAAGCTTGGGATTTGGTGCTAATTTATCCCCTTTTCCATTGCACATTCCACGCTTTTGCTCTGCCTAACAACGAACTGTCATTCATTCGTCAGATGTACAGATGATTCGACAATTGTTTTGTTCCATGAGCTACATTGATCTTGAAAATCTATCCAGCAAATGTATGAAAATCACGCTTCAATGGTTCTCAGTTCTCGCTCTCTCTATCTCTATCTCTCGTTCTGCGAGTGTATCTAAATCTGTATCTCTCTCGCTCTGCCTTTGTGGAGACTGACCTAAACGAGTTAGATTTCCAATTACGATTGGGCGGACTGCTGGCAGTTTTGCTAATGAGGCACCCACACACACTGCACCCCCTCCAGCTGGCATGGAACGATCCGCACCAAAACGGGGTAAACCTCATTACCGCTTGGCGTGGCTTTGCCTTCATTGTACCTACCATATCTCCCTCTGTTTTCCATGTGTTTTTTTCGCCGTTGTTGTTGTTTCAGTGTCAAGTTCATGTTGGCCAAGTTGCATGCAATGTTTCAAATGGCCGCATGCCAAACAGCCCTCCCCCCTGGACAATCTCACTGAATTGCGATGGTTTGGATGGTTGGATGATGACGATGACGATGACGATGACTTTGCCATTCAAAACACACACACAACAAACAGAATGTGGGTCGTCGTGTTCAGTCACTAAATTATAACGTCAGCTGCCATATTTTCATTTTCATTTTGGGATTCGGAATTTTGCAATGCTCAATGGTTGAGTTTTTATGGCGTGGAAGGTCTGGGTGGGGAGGTTAAGGCTTCGAACAAAGCTCCCATTAAATGTTGTTAATGTCTGTGAGAAATAAATTCATATCTAAATATTTTTTAATGCTTTTTATTGTCGGTTGTTTTATGAGACATGCGCTTGTACTTCCTCTTCGTATTTGTTTATGGAGCAAGGTCTTCGGTAAAAATACACAGAGAGAAATCCAACTAGAATCTGCTTGCCAAAATATATATTGCCTTACGTATTTTTCTTGAGTTCCCATGCATTTCCCACAGTGCGTTCTCATTTGCTTCCCCAAAGAGTGGCATCAATGTCAGAGTTGCCTCCAAATGTTGTCTGTTACAGTCATTAAGTGACATGCATATGTGCTACGTGCGGAAAGTAGATTCCGATTCAGATTCCGATTCAGATTCAGATTCAGCTGCGGATTTGGATCGCGTCTCGATCTGCGCCCTCGTCTCTGTGGCTGCTGCTGTCGCTGACGTCAGATGAGCGAGCTTCTGAACCGTATCTCTAGCTACGCTCCCTACCTACCTGCCTATTTGTCTATCTATCTGTGTATCTTTGCATCTATGGCATGGCGCTGGCAAGTTCATAGTTAAATGATTCTGTTGTTGCCATTCAAACGTTCGAGCCGCGTTCAGTTCTCGAGCGAACGTTGAGGCGGTTGAATGTGCGCAAGGATCGCATCTTGGCTTCAGCTCAGCTTCATCATGGTTCCCAGACTCTTGTGTGTGACTGTCCTTTGGTGTCACCTGGCGGCGGGAATAGTGCAGCATCGCTCCTTGGAGGATGCACGCCTGGAGCGGCAGCGGCTGGTCCACAAGTACATCAAAGCACTCAACAAGGAGGAGGGCGCCATCCGACTGGTCGGCGGCGACAGCGAATACGAAGGTGAGAGAGAGAGAGAGAGAGAGAGCGCTACTGATAGACGCTACTCTTTTAGGCAACATTGAGGTGCTGCACAATGGAAAGTGGGGCGCCATCTGTGACGATGAGTGGGATGCCACCGAGGGACATATCGTGTGCCGGCAACTGGGCTTTCCCGGCATGAGGCGGTACACGCACAGCGGCTACTTCGGCGCAGCCCGTCGTCGCTTCTGGATGGACAATCTGTTCTGTGAGGGCCACGAGCAGGAGCTGGTCGAGTGCCACTTTGAGGGATGGGGCGAGAATGACTGCGAGCCGGGCGAGGCAGCGGGAGTGGTGTGCAGTCCCCCGGCAGATGCACCGATACCAGAGCCCCTGCTCAGGGATGAGGACATACCCAAGTTCCCCATACACACCCGCTCCCGCCTGTACGTTCAGCTGCGAGGCGGTAGGGAGCGGAACGAAGGCCGCGTGGAGGTGCGACTAGATGGAGGACGCTGGGGCAGCATCTGCGCCGATGGCTGGTCCCTGCTCGAGGCAAATGTCGTGTGCCGCCAGCTGGGGCTCGGCTATGCACGGGAGGCCTTCCAGACCGACTATTTCGGTGGCTTCAACGTCTCCCGGCCCGTCCTCAGTGGCAGCGAGTGCTACGGCAACGAGACGGAGCTGGCCGACTGCTTGCACCACGATCCGATTCGTGGGATCGTAAGCTGCCACGGCAGCAGGCAACATGTGGCAGCTATGATCTGTGACTACTCCTCGCCCGATCTGGTGATTGACTACCTGGAGATTGAGCAGACGGCGCATCTGGAGGATCGTCCCATGCTGCTGATGCAGTGCGCCATGGAGGAGAATTGCGTCGCCAGCGAAGCCTATCAGATACAGCGCGATGATCCCCACTGGCGCTATCGCACACGGAGACTCCTGAAGTTCACGGCGGCTGCCATCAATGCGGGCAATGCGGACTTTCGCCCCTTCAAGGAGAAGAGCCAGTGGGAGTGGCACATGTGCCACATGTGAGTAGATAACTCAGTCGCCTTCCGCGTGGCACGGCAAGACGTGGTACTACTCGCTTTCCCCTCCTCCCTTTTCAGGCACTTTCACAGCATGGAAGTGTTTGCCACCTTTGACATCTTCGATTTGAGCGGTCGGAAGGTGGCGCAGGGCCACAAGGCCTCCTTCTGTCTGGAGGATAGCACCTGTCTGCCAGGAGTCTCTAAGAAGTACAATTGCGCCAACTATGGCGATCAGGGTGAGAGGGGGAACCATTGGTTAGCCACTCCAAGGTTGATTTTCCACAACCTCTTTCCGTAGGCATCTCCATCAACTGCTCTGATGTTTACCTGTACAATCTGGACTGCCAATGGGTGGATGTTACGGACCTCAGTCCTGGCTCGTACATCCTTAAAATAGCCATCAATCCAGAGTTCAAGGTATCGGAGATGAGCTTCGACAACAATGCTGCCATCTGCGATCTGATTTACGCGGATAACTATGCGAGAGTTCAGAACTGCCAGCTGGCGAGACCCTAAAACAGGGAGGGGGAATTCGATGATGGACTGCAAACCAAAACAAATTGTGCCAAATATTAACATTAACCAAAGGGAGTTTGTACATCTATACCTTAATCTATATCTCTATCGGAAATTAAAAGTGCACATTTCTAAGGCCTTTCCTTTCGCTTGAACTTGAAACTCAGTCGAGTGTGAATATGTCGCAGAGCTCAAGACATTGAGACATTCTCGAGTCAGCGAACCATTCATCAAGTGTCAATCGTCAAGTGTGCGTCCGAGTTAAGCTATCAGTGTCGCCTCGGGGCGTTGCAAGGGTGTGGAAGTGGAACTAAATGTAAAGAGTAAGAGGCTATGAATCTATGAAGAGTACACCACTTCTCTTCTACGGGTACATTTTAAATTATCTCTGTAGCAATTGGTTATTGATTGCTCCGCTTCTATTGAAACACAAACCCAACTCATCAATAAGTAGGATTTTACATCTCCTGCCAAGACTTA